TCATTTTTATTTTCTTTATTTCTTTTTCATTTTTCTTTTTCTTTTTTCTTTTCTTTTCTTTCTTTCTTTCTTTCTCGTCTCTGTTTAGCGCTGAGTTTCTGAGCAGTTTGAAGAGGCTGGAGATGTTAAAAGCTTTGACTGTTTGATGTAAACGACTGATTAATGATCATTAGAATGGCAGTCGATGTTGATGTTTGTTGAGCTTCTCTCTTCTTCTCAACGATGATCTCTGTTCTTTATTTCTTTCTTTTTCATTTTTATTTTCTTTCTTTTCTTTTTCATTATTTTCTTTCGTTTTCGTTTTCTTTTTCATTTTTATTTTCTTTATTTCTTTCATTTTCATTTTTATTTTCTTTCTATTTCATTTTTATTTTCTTTATTTCTTTCGTTTTCATTTTTATTTTCTTTATTTCTTTTTCATTTTTCTTTTTCTTTTTTCTTTTCTTTTCTTTCTTTCTTTCTTTCTCGTCTCTGTTTAGCGCTGAGTTTCTGAGCAGTTTGAAGAGGCTGGAGATGTTAAAAGCTTTGACTGTTTGATGTAAACGACTGATTAATGATCATTAGAATGGCAGTCGATGTTGATGTTTGTTGAGCTTCTCTCTTCTTCTCAACGATGATCTCTGGAGGAAAGACATGTTATATTATACTGCTGAAAGCCTCAAACATGATCATTCCATCATCATTTACTCTCCTTCATGTCATTCCAAACCTTTATGACTTTATATCTTCTTGTAACAGAAGATATTGTGAAGAATGTTCATAAATAAGATTGATAGATCTTATTTACGCACAGCTAACTTTAGTAGAGTAGTGGCCAAAAGTGATGTTTATTCAAACATTTTAATATTAAGGATTTTGTAAGCATACTGTGTAGTTGTGCTTGTGGATCAAAAACAAGGGAGAACCAACGAAATATTAATAACTGATTATATTCTTGTATTTAATCAGTGCTTTATTTCCAGTGAGCCATTTGTTTTTCTATGTATTTTTTGATTTGGTAGGGTAATTAAAGGCAAGAATTGAGAAATATCTACTACTTTTGGCCACTACTGTATATAAGAAATTGATGTAGTCTTACGAAAACGAAAAGCATTGCCTTCATTGCTGTTAGTCGAGGTTTTTCTGCTGTTCATTAACGAGAACACACACTTCTCCAGTGTTCAGTGACTTGCTCCCCATCAACTTACTGTCATAACTTGTTTTCAAGACAGATTTATTAAAAAATACTGTACAAAATGAGACATCACTAAAATTTAAGTTTAAAAAATATATATAATGAATAGTGCATCTATTTATTAAAATGTTCCTCGCTACAGTTATTTTCTCTTGCTAACTAACCTGAGGTAAATGTAACGTTACATGACATTAAGCTGTTTTTTTGACGTCTTTTTGTGATTGAAACAATGATTAAACGATTATATATGATACGCGATACATTTCAGTAAGCTGTACTGTTTCTTTAAACATACCTTCTGATACTCATTCATGTTTTTCATGCTATAACTAGTAGTAAAACTTATTCCCGCCTTCACTAACTGCAAGTTTATCAATAGGGTATTGTGATTGGATGGTGATTTTGTTCTACAGAATATACCATGACATTATTGGCTACCTTTAATTAGGCTATTCTCACGTGACAGAAGACTAGACTACAGGTTTGTGAGTAAATGAAGACAGAATGATCATGTTGGTGAAGATGTGTAGAAACAACAGTCTGTTTTGTGACTCAAACTCCAGCTGAATTAATCTCATCACACGTAATAATCTAAAAATGAGCATGATGTCGGACCCACAAGACTCGGTTTAATGTTGTGTCTGTGTGTGAGATGATTAGAAATGATGATAATGAAAGAAACACGAGTTCAGGTCTCCATTTGGCCTCGTTGTTGTCTAGGAGAAAGCGCTGAGACGTTCGTGAAGGTTGTAATGGAGTGTGTGTTAGAGCTGAGGTCTCACACTGTTCACTAGTACTTCACACGCGTGTGTGAGTCTTGTTCAGCCGTCGTTGATGCGACTGATGCGTTTGCAGACGAGACGCTCGCAGCCGTAAACGCTGCTCTTCTCGTGTTCAGACAGACTCCCGCTGGAGGCGTCGCACATCTCTGTTCCGTCTCAAGGTCTTCTGTGGGTCAAAACACCTCATCTTTACTGTTCAAACCTGCTTCCAGCAACAAAATAGGTCTTCTAATGTATTTTTTAATATTTTTCAAAATGTAAAAAAAAAAAAAAAAGCTAAGAAGTATATTTGCTAAAATGTGTTTCAAAATATATTTACATAAATATATTAAATATATTTTATAATATTTTTATATTTTATAATATATATATATATATATATATACATATATTCCGTTTTTATTTTATTTTATATATTTACATAAATATATATTTCTATCAATATATTTTTTGGCTGTTTTTTTTGTATATTTATTTATATATGTATAGATAGATAGATAGATATTAAAAAGCATTTAAAAATATATTTTGCTTTTTATATTTCAATCCCAAAAAAAATACAGTCACATTTGAAGAAAAACTTTTCTTGTTGTCTGTAACATGTGTGAACATATTACATATTTGAATAAAATTAATCAAGGAACATACTTTAAAATGGTAAACTACTTTAAAAAAAAATTACAATATACATATTACAATATATATATATAAAAAAAAAATAAACATTTTTATGTATTAAATATAATCTTTATGTAAAAATGTATTTTGGGTCTCTAGTAGGATATCCACATTTGCATTTAGCCTA